TTAGAAGTGTTTGAGGGAAAAAAAAAAAAAACAATGGCACACACCACCTGGTGGCGTGGGTGTTTTGGCGATAGCACAAGCTAAGCAACGGGTAAACAAACGCCCCTTTTACCCACATTGGGTTGATTTCAACTCATTTGATTGGATAGGCAATGGTAAAACGGACACCACTAGTGTGCCCGCCACCTGCAACAAAATTTATGCGAACTGAAACCGAGTCGACACAATATGATGAGCCACGTACAGAACCCATCGCGAACACACCCTCCTTACGTCGCAAGCCATTTCGCCTAGCAATATATTGTGTGGTGATTCTTCTAGTCCCAGTTCCCTTTGATTGCTCCCCTTCTCCGCCTCTCTCCTTATTCTGTAGCTTTAGGCACCTCTAAGCTATGCCACATCGTGAGAATCGAGAATCGATCTCAGAAAATTGGGTTGTAAAATGATTGATTCACCTGGGTACAACACGAGGCTACATATAGAATCGACAGAAGGCAGGTAACCCGGGTGTTACGCAGTTCAAGAGAGATTGGGACGCGCGGCTGCCCTGGTTGGTAGCGGGGTACCGATTCATTAAGCAGGCAGCGCTAAGGGACTTCTCTCCCTACTATCTGCTGCTGGGGAGGGAACCCATCTTACCCGTAGACGCCCCTCGCCTACTGAAAGATGTGGTCACTACCAGCTCGGAAGAGGAGTGGGTGGGGCTAGCGGAAGCGCGGGCAAGATATCTGCGGGAAATGTTGCCAGCGGCACTAGAGAACTTACAAGTGGCTCAGCTGCGAGACGCTCAGAGATACAGACGAAGGATGGAGGGCCAGGCGGAGCAGAGGGGACAGTGGTTGGGCGTGGGGGAAGAAGTGTACGTAAAGCAGGCGAGGCAGGATATGATGGTTATGGGACTGAGCACGGAACGATGGAGGGTGAAAGAAGTTAAGGATTCGGGCGTAGTGGTGCTAGTGGGAGAGAAGGGTCAAGAGAAGCGGGATCACCAGACGAACGTGGCTAGGGCCCGCCCCAAGAGAGCACTCCAGCAGACAGGAAGGGGCGTAGAGATCCCTAGCGGAGGGCAGCCTTTCAACCAAGGGGTCCATCGGCAGCAGGGAGCAGAGCTGGAGCCGAGGAGGGGGCAAGTGGGAAAGGCTGGGCCAAGGACCCAAAGCATGAAGAGGGAACTGAGGAACTTGATGGGGTGAAGAGGGAGAGAGGCCTAGAGAAAGTATCACAAAAAGGGGCCGACACAGGAAGAGAAATATGGAGGAGGAGAGAGATTCCGACAGCTGTCATGCTTTTAATCGTAGGATTAGAAGATAGAAGAAACAATATAAAAGCAAGACAGAGTACAGTAGCGCGTAGTGTTGTAGAGAAGCAGGCGGGAGTCGAAGATGCAGGCGGCGAGGAATTGTGCCGAAGTAGCGAAAAGTAGAGGACCGTTGCTTAGCAACGGTAACCAGAAGTAGATACTTACGCAAGCACCAAGGTCAGAGTCACTTGTTTGCTTGTTTTTTTCCACTCTAAGCAAAGAATCGATCCTAGAGAATTCCTAGAACCATGCCCGTGGAGGAGCCAACCATAGCAAGCCTCTGAAGTGTTAAGGGTTGTCGTGCCCGTCAGGCAGCCGAGTTAGGGTTTCCTAGTGTAGTAGTTCTGACTAGGAACTGTTACGTGGGAAAGGCTGGGCCAAGGATCCAAGGCATGAAGAGGGAACTGAGGAACTTGATGGGGTGAAGAGGGAGAGAGGCCTCCATGGCACATTGGCATGGCACATGGAGGGAACTGAGGAACTTGATGCCATTAGAACCCGTACCTCCATGTGCCATGCCAATGCCCCCCATTTTCTATGCCTTTTTGCAGACTGCTACACCATGCACCAGTTTAACGTGTGGCCATGTATCTCACGCTTGCAGGTTCCTTGACCCTCCTGTGGACTAGGTTCCGTGGTATTGCACCTGCTTTTTGAGTATAGGGCTGGCTTACTCACGTTCGCAATCCTCGCATGGACAAGTTCTCAGCCCGCACTCTCTCCTATGTCTTCCTATTTTTATTTCTTGATGCCCCTGACTGGCAGTTCTATCACCCCCTCCTCTCACTGATTCTTTTACTCTCGTGACATTGCCTTTGACAAGTCCGTCTTCTTCTACGCGTGCTTCCTTCACCGAGGAACCCCAGTTCCATCCACTCTCTTATTCCTCACTCCCACTCCCCCCCCTGGTCCCACTCCTTTGGTAGCCCCCCTCCCCTTGACCCCCCCTCTCCTCCTCCCCACCCACCTCCTCCCACCTCCTGCCATGTTTGGTGTGTCACACGTCACCCCACAGTCTCTGCCGCCCCCGACCTTGACCTTGCAGTCGCCGCTGCAACGGTTATCATCACAACTGCCGGTCCCTGTGGACACAGGTGGTGCTGGGTCGGAAGGTGCAGCTTCGGACGGCACTGGTTCGGGGGTTGCTTTCTTTCGAAATGCTGGCTCTTGGGGTGTTGACACTGGAGGTGCTGGCTCTGGGAGTGCTTCTGCAGGAGGTTCAGGCCCTGGGGGTGCCGCGGGCTGAGATTGCAGGAACATTAGCAGCAGCAACAGCCACAGCATCAGTAGCAGCAGCAACAGCCACAACATCAGTAGCAGCAGCCACAGCAAAAGATGCAGCAGCAATAGCCACCACAGTAGTCGTTGCCGCCTATCAATGCCCTTCGCCTTCTTGATTTTCATTACCCGTTCAACTGACTGTCCTCCTTCCTCCTCCTCTCCACTACTTCTCCCAAACCCATCTCCAACTCTTTCCCTGCTGTAGCCTCCTCTTTCCCCCGACCAGTCTCTTGCCTCTTCCCTCTTGTCTCTTGTCTCTTCCCTTATCATTCATACACTCATTGAGGCATGGAACATCTGCTATCATACTCTCATACCATTCCATGCAAACGCATGTGCACACACATATAGTAACTGCTGGTTGCACCAACACGAGCATGAGTAGCCTAGTATGAACCTAGATATGATGTTGAAGTATGTTTGAGTTCACCACTCACCGTTTGAGTAGGGTGCACTAGGTTTGATTTCACCATTAACATCCTGTCTAGGTTCATACAATGTCTGAGTTCACCTTTAGCATCCTATCTAGGTCCATATAGCCAGTTCATACTATGCCGAACCTAGATGGCCAAGTCAGTGCGCCCTGGTGCCTCAAACAATCAGGTCGACGCACAGCAAGATCACATTCCTGGACACACTCTCGCATGCATTTCCCTTTCAAATCGATGGCCTAGTACCACGAGGTCGTTTTCGTCATTTTTTATGATGGACAGGGCCAAGCTTCTGGAGAGTTTAAAAGCGGCAGCAGTAGGCATCCGAAAGGGCGTTCTAGTCTTAATTGTTAAAGCCCGAGTACAACATGGTTCTTTTCAAGTTCGAGATTCTTGAACTTCAAATCGCCAAAAACATGGTTACCCTTCTTTTGCCGCCGCCCCTGCATGTGCAGAGAGATTGGGAGCTGCTCTGCCTGGCAGCCAGCACTGTGCAGGCAAGGAGTTGAAGGTGGATCATGGGGCAAGGGTAAGGGAGTGTGTTGTGCGGCATGGTCAGTGCGGATTGGCACAAAGGCAAGCACAGGGTGAAGGCAGGCAGGGGCCGCGGCAGGATATGGAGTTTGGCAGTGCCAGCAGGATGCCGCGGAGCGTTGATGTGGGAGGGGGCAGGCAGGCTGACAGGAATGCTGGCAGCAGCGCCAAGGCATGTGCGGTGGCGCAAGGCTGGACTGAGCTGCGGTGAGCCGGGGGAGTGCAAAGTGGTGCAGGGAAAAGGCACGGAATGTCGCTATGTGGCACGACAGTTGTACAATGCAAATCTGCTATGCTGAAGGAGAGACATAACAGTTGAGTCTAGGCACATGTCCTATATTTGTAGGTGTTATTTTACACATGATAAAGGATATCATACCAAGCTATTCATATAAGTATTGGAGCACCAAATACATCCACAGCATGTACAGAGTACCTATGCCATAAAATTTACACAGAATAGACAAGGAGGGGAAATGTAAGAAAGCACAAACAGAAACACGAACATGTTTTGCACACCGACAAGGTGGGGTTGCTGGTCGCAGAGCAGTCATTTGTGACAAAAGTTTGTCAACGGAGTAAACCCTTCTCATATTGGGTATTGGGTATCTCTTCAGCATTGTCAAGAAGAGTGATGGATCCATATCAGATTTGCATTCCATTGAAGCATGAAATCTCATGACTGTGAGATGAGGAGCCAGCGGAAAAAGCAATAGTTGACTCCATTGAGGCATGATAGACATGGTTCAAGCATTACAGTAGCTGGTTGGGTGGAGGAAGGGAATAAGAAATGGGAGTGAAGAGGGACATGAAGACGAATTAGTGGGTGTGAGGAGGCAAGAGGAGAACGGAAAGAACAGTAGCACCATGAGGGAAAGGCAGAACGGAGCAAAGGGGAGAAGTGGAGTGTAGGCAGCAAGCAGACTGCCACATAAGGTACTTACTTCATAGCAGGAGACAAATTTTCAGATATGCTTGTGGGAAGCAACGACAGGGACAGGCATAATTGCAAGGAACGAAGACTGAAGAAAATCACTATCGTGTCCCTTCTCTCTTCTTTACCCACTCTCCACTCCTCTGCTCAACCTCACACCCCCTCATCTTGTTCACACTCACTTTCTTTCGAACCCTCCTCTGGTTGGGGAATGCCCTGCTCCACTGCATGCCAGATGTTTGTTTTGTGAAATCTTCAAAGTGACTCGCCAAATCATCTCTTCCTCACACGCCCCTTGATCACACACACTCCCTCACCTGGCTGAGCATTTGCTCCAAACTTTCAATTATCTTTCCTCCCTCAGCCACACTCCCTCCCCTGTCTGTGCGTCGGCTCCCCACCCGGCAAATACTCGTGGGCACCACCAACCCAGCCCGCCTGCTCCTACTGCTCCCACAGCACTCCCGCCCCAGATCCTAACCCACTCTTTCCCATTTACCCGGCTGGCCTTTTCCCTCACCTGGCTGTGCAATTGTTCTCCACCCGCCAGTGCGCAATTTTGGACAGAGACAGTTTATCCGGCCTCCTCCCATTGCAAAATGCCACAAGCCCAGGAAATTTCGGAGCCATCATGTTCAAGGCTGACTGAAGAGCCACTGAGCTTCGTCCCGCCCCTGATGTGCCCAAAAAGGACGACGAGCAGAACCGAAAATCCACATTGGGCAACGTTCCCGACAAGACACCATAGACAGCGTCGCCAATACCACGAGAATATTTGCCGCCATTGGTGGTCCCGAGGGCCTTGTTGCTGTCGAAGGTGACTCGGTCGAAATAGAGGGAGGAGTCTAACGAGAATATTCCTCCCCCAGATACACCTGGATGGGTGGAGAAGAGGATGAATGGAGGGTAGGTGAATCCGCACCAAAGATATCATGTTTGAGAGGAGGTCTCCCTTTGATGTGTTTGGATGATGGAAAGGAGATATGTGAATGGATAATGGATATGACAGGGCTAGATTCTGGGAAAACACCAAGGATCTTAGACCCGCAGGAATTTCCACGAGGCAGGACCACCTACATAACACACTAGACACTTACACATACTCTCTCTCTCTCTCTCTCTCTCTCTCTCTCTCTCTCTCTCTCTCTCTCTCTCTCTCTCTCTCTCTCTCAAACGGTCCTTTGTATTGATTCAGCAGGGGTACAAAAACATGCAGTGCAATCCATGATAACCTCCTTCCCTTAATCCCCTTAGCTCACCCCTCTTCCCCCCCCCCCCCCCCTGCGTGACCCTCTAGCCCTCCAGCGTGTGGAGGATGTCCCCCAGGTGCAGTGGCCAGGGGTCCGCTGCCATCTGGGGGTGCGCTGCCTCGATCACATACTCTCTCTCTCTCTCTCTCTCTCTCTCTCTCTCTCTCTCTCTCTCTCTCTCTCTCTCTCTCTCTCTTTCTTACACACGCACACACACCCACACACACACACACACACACATACACTCACCAGCGTGGTTCCCATTAAACACACACTGCTCGAACTGCACCCTGCCTAGCCCTGTCACGCTTCTTGCCCCCCCCAGATTCCCAGGGGCTTTGTTGTCCTTGAATAGGCAGCTCTGGAAATAAAGGTAAGGCACGCTGCCGTTGCTCCTGCCGGCGTTGATGCTGATGGCACCACCGGCCCCTTTGGGCGCTTTGTTGCTCTGAAAGGTGCAGTCTACGAAGCGGCGATTGGCAGGGGTGCCTTGCATTGGGAGGGGGAAGTATTCACTGTTGGTTGATACATCAAAGGGGGACGGAGGGAGGGGTGGGTGCCACAGGGAAGGAGTCGCTTGGATTAGGAATACATTAAAGGGGGAGGGAGGGAGGGGTGTGTGGGAGGCAACGGGGTGTGTGGGAGGCAATGGGGTGTGTAATAGGAAATAGGGGGGCCATCAAACAACGATGGACTTAGTGTTGCCGTGGAAGGTGCAGAACAAGAAGAGACGGTAGAAGGTGGTGGTTGTCACATGAAAGGAGTTGCTGCTTGGTTGGAATACATATTCAGGGGGGAGAGGAGGGTGGATGGGGGGCGGGCGGAGGAGAACATGTGTATTAGGGCATAAGAGGGCCTCCAAGGAGCAGAAAATAGAGCCCTGGGACGGGCGTTGTGCTGCTTTGGAAGGTGCAGCACGAGAAGGGACGTGGGGAGGGGTGGCTGTCACGGGAAAGGAGTCAGTGGTGGTTGAGAAAAATACAGCTAGAAAGAAAAGGTGCAGCGAAATTTGAGATGGGCGAGGCGCATGGCTGTCAAATCAAAGGCGCTACTGGCTGCCAACCGTGGTGTGGTGACGGGCGGTGTGGTGTGGTTGGTGGTAACAAGTGAAAACAATTACTCTTGCACAGGAGCACAGGCGGTGCGGCGGTGGTACAAGCATGAAAGGTTATGCGCGACGAAAGGTTATGTATGCGAACAAATCAGCTTGTTATTATTGATGTAGCATGTCTCCCTGCATCACAAACATTCTCACGTGCACCATACACACAATATCACGAGCACCATACACATTATCTCACATCCGCCATACACTCTGACATGCACCATACACACTCTCACATGCGCCTCACACTCGCCTCACACTCTCACATGCGCCTCACACTCTCTCACGTGCACGATATAAACTCTCACATGTCCCACACACTTTCACCTGCATCACTCGCACTCACCTGTATCGCACGCTCGCATCTGCACCATACAGACTTTGAAATGGCCCACACACACTCACTTTCAACACACACACTCGAACGCATCATCCATTCTACACACATAATGTCCATCATACACACTTCGTGCACGACACACACAATCTCACATGCGCCACACACACACTCACCTGAGCACCCCTCTGGCCCTCACCTCCCCCCATCACTCCCGCTCGAACACTCTTTCACTCTCTCGTCACCCATTCAACACTCTAATCCCCTACCTGAGCACCGCTCCGCCAACGCCAGGGGCCGTGTTGTTGACGAACTCGCAATGACTCGCGATGATCGCCCCCCGCACCCTGAAAAAGACGCCTCCTCCCGCCTGCTGGAAGCTGAGGTTGGTTAGAGTCAACTTTCCCTCCCTGGAGCCGGACGAGGGGGAGGTGAATATGGGGAAGCTGCCATTCCCGCTGATGATGCACCTGGTGAGGGCGGAGGGAGAAGGTGTGCAAAGTAAGAACGACAGAACAACGTGGGTTGGAGAGAGGAGGAGAGGGGAATTGTCGGTGCAGAGGGGTCGATTATAGCAATAATTAGTGAGAGGCAGCATTGCAAAGAAGGGAACGTGGCAAATAAGGAGTTTGTGGCGGCAGTTACAAGTGTGGATGAGACGTTGGAAGCATGCATTGGCTGCAGAGTAGACTACCAGTATACCCTATAGCTTGTAACGCCACAACCCTGCTGGCCCTACTACAACCCGCCTGGTAACCCAAATATCTGGTTGTGCATGTAACACTATCACAAGTAGTAATTGCACCCTCTTGTGACTGCACCCTCACATTACCGTCCTGACACCATTCACCGTTGATCCCTTGTACCGCCGACCTGGTAACCCTGTTACCAACCTCGAAGTGGCACACGCGCCCATGATGATCAGGCTGGCCTCGCCTGATAATGCGGGAAGGGGGCTGGGGGAAGGAGAGCGCGAGGAATGGCGTGGAAGGGGGTGGGTGGAGAGGGGGTGGAGGGTGGGCGGGGAGTGAGGGAGAGTCTATTACGTTATGATAATACTGCACATTCACATGGTAGGACAGGGCCTGACTGATGAGATGAGATGATGCGCGTTGTATGAGGTCGGCAATTGTCGTTGTGGCATCAGGTGGCAAACGCACAGGTGGCGAGACATCGCGGAAAAGGGTTTGACTCAAAATCGAGTTTAAGTCTGAAGGCTGCAGGAAAGTTGCAGAAACCTACCTGAAAAGTATCCGAAAAGCACTGAGTGAAAACCGCAACATGCACCAATTTCGGATACAAGCTGGCTTCCGAGCCGTGGATTTTGGCTACGTGGGTCAGCCGGGGCGCGAATTTTGTATACGTGGGTTACCCGAGCCGCGAATTTCACACATCAGTTTTGAAACATCTTCACCGAATAGTACACCTGGTCACGACCAAATCTCGGGAGTCTCCCTTGCTGGTGTATGATTGATGAACACTAGTAAGCACACGAATTACGCAGGCATTGTCGAACGTTGCGAGCACAGTAACTGGGATACAAACTCAAACGAGGCTCGCGAAGGCACAACCCAGAATCGAAACTGGCAGCTGGCATACAGTTCCATGTCACGCCCAATCAAATTAAGTGTTCAGATTCTGTGTGAGTGACGTGGCTTCCCCGGATCACAGCTTAGGTAACCGGAATTGAGATATCCTCACCTTCATGTTTTTTTACTAACCAATTACTGGTGCGATGTAGGCTAGTACCATAAATCTACGGCATCCGTGAAGACACATCATCACACTTTGGAGCTCTAGAAGCATCTCTCTTTCGAATTCACACAACACGCTAGTTGCGTAGCTCATTGTTCACACAACTTTCCCAGCTTCTTCCAGTCCAGCCTGCAGCTCGTGCCTCTGAGTAATCCTCACGCATCAACTAGCGTTTTCCGTATGCTCTTCCTTCTGTGTATGTAATAAACTAGTATAGGAAGTATCTATTCAAGCTACTATCTGTCCAGATATACCGTCTCAGCCTGCATCTGTCCCCTTCTTTTCTCCATCTGTCCCTTTCTGCATCTGTACCTCCCGTCCTATATACAGCTCATCGACTTGCTCTCCCCACGCGGAGGATGTTCTGCGCGCGAATCGCCGCGGACTCAGCACCCGTCTACCTACGAACGGTGCGACGTAAAGCGCGTTGCGCGGCGGCGGAAGCGCCGTGTTCTGCGCTGAAAGCGTGAATTTTTTTAGCCACGATTCTCATCACTCCTGTTGTGATCCTCACTTGTCATTTATTCGCACGGGTTAGGCTTCTTTTGTTCTCGTTTCCCTCTCTTTCTTCCCGAAATGAACGCAGATATATTTTCTCATGTATTAAACTGCGCTGCACCGTGCCACTTTAATCAGTTACTTGATGTTTCCGCTTCATCCACCCAATACACAGATCGTCATCACGCACCTATAGTCGCGGGACCGCAGATTATCCCAATGACTAGCAATGAAACGAGGAGGGAAGCCGCGTGCTGGCGTGCTGTAATTGATTCCCTGTCAAAAGCCATTCTTAGCCGCCGGTACTAGTAGTTGACTGAAGATGGTAGCAGACTAGCAACTCCGGTAAGCATAAATGCTCCGCACTCATGTGCTCTGGCAGCAACTATTTTGAACCGATAGTCAAAACACGAACTAGATCTTGTTTCTGAGAAACTCACTGCGCATTGTGAAGTTTATGTACAATCCTCATCTTGCCCACCAAGAAGTCTATAGGCTGCAAGAAACTCACTCTGCGCAGCTGTAAATTCATACAGACAGTGGGTTCATTCCATCAAATTTGAGCCCCGGGGCTTCATTTCAAATTTGACAGGCGACACTTGCGGGAGTGGGTTCATTCCATCGCATCGCAGTGCTGGCAGTTGTTCCTGCAAATCGCCACAGCGCGAATGGCAGGGGTGATGCGCTAAACATTAGGACGTGGGCCCAATCGACTTTGATCGGCGCGATCAGAGGCGATAAAAAACTTCGAGGAAGGCGGGAAGCAGATTTGCAGGCAATCAGGGGCAATCAGCTGATCGCGATCAGCTGATCGCGCCAACTCAATCAACCGCCTCTAACAGCCCGATCAGACCCGATCAGACACAATCAGCCCCAATCACTTGATTGCATGTGATCGGCGTCCTGGGCGATGTACGCAAAATGTAACACGTCTCGCCATAAGGTCTCGAAAATCCTTGCGAATAAACCCAGATCGGCGAGAACAGCGTGTTGGGACATGATGCTGGCGACATTACCACGATACTAAGATTCACCCATATCGCCAAAGTTGGGATGCAACTACCAGGTTTTCATGAATGTTTTGCAACTCTCGGTTTCTCCCGCACCCACTTTTGGAACAGCGCCCGATTACACTCTGAAAATGCTAGCTCACAAGGGTAATTTCTGGTGATTCTTGAATCTTGCAGATGTTTCTGGGCATTTTAGACGCGCGCTGGAGCCAAGGCGAAACTGCCGCCAACCAATGGCGTTACACCAGCATTTGGATTCGGAAGTACTGGTTGATGTGGCGCCAACCTGAAATTACCCCTTGCCTTTGCGAGTCGCAGATTTGACAATGGAAACCACATGCGATATTCACGGCTGCTTATTCAAAAGAACCCGCGGAACAACGAATAATAACGAATATTGGCGGTGTTCGCCAGCACATTTCTAAGCAAAAACGAGGGGATGACGACGGGATCAGGAAGGTAAGTCTCGCCTTCCTGATCCCGTCAGTTAGGGTTCTTTAACCACCGTCAGCCTGGTCAGCCCGTAAAAATGCTGCCGAGCCTCTTATGCCGTCCGAATCTCTTAGAAAAGTGAGGGCGTGGCGAACGCCCCCAATTTTCACCCATTTCGAAATGCTTGACCGCATATGGAAACGGGGTCGCAGTTTCCTTCCCTGGCAAAAACCATCCCCCTGCGATGCCATCGCCATTCACCTATCCACGATGAATGGCGATGGCATGGCTGTGGCATTGCACGGCAGAGGGGAACTGCGGAAGGTGGGGCTGGGGGTTCCATATGCGGTTGCAAGTTTTCCCGTTTTGGGAATCGAAGTTTCGCGGACCGCATTATGCCCAGACCTCTTGGGCGGGTTCCGCCCCCGTTTCCAGATGCGGTCACCATGCCGATGCCGTCAAAATGCCATCTATTTTCGAATGTGCTGGCGAACGCCGCCATTAAATTACAACATCAGCCTACAAATAGATCCTAGACAAGATAGAGGGACCCTTGCTTTAAGAGGCCGAGGTTGGATGTCAGAAGACTTCTTGCGACGTGCATTAGACCAAGAAGGCAAAATAGTCTGGACGATATTGTCATTTCTGAAGGCTTGATTGTACGCGACGTAGTGTAAATAAATTCATGAACATAAAAATGGTGCCAGAACTTCTAACATTTGAAGTCGTTGCTGATGGTACGTTCTCACCAAGAACTCTAGCATGTGAAGGGGGTCCTCCCACTTAAACAGGAATCAAAAGTTGGTTTAGAAGATTTGACTTATTGGTTTGATCGTCGGAATGAGGATATATGTTAACGATAAGCTCTGACATGTGCGGTACTGCTCCTATATCACCCATCAAAATTTCTAGGTGAAATCAAAGGCGTACATGCTTATGATCACAGAGACAGCTTGTATAGGTGAACAACGATTGAGATGAACAACTTTGCATATTCTTTGGCCGAAATTATTGTAAATCATTATGTAATTACGTGGCTCCCATGGCGCGGCCGACGATCATCAACATTTGCACTTGCACCAGCAAATAGATGGGCGACCAACTCCACCATCATTTGTTGCCACTGGCGTAGGCATAATTCGAGCGGTCACAATAGCTGAGCGATGTGGAAAATTTAATGTCAAAACATATGTTTGTATGTTTCATTAGGCTGTACTGGGTTTAGGCCTACGGGGTACACCAATCTTCTCGACATCCTTCTTGTACCCCTCCCTTTGACCTAGTCCGTCATCCTTAATCTTAACATGGTTTCACAGTAGGTTCCGATTAGGGCCTAGTATTTTTTTAGGGCCCACCACATTTGTTTCTCTCTGCCCGGCAGACGTTTTTTCCCCTGCCCTGCCGTAAGTTTCTGCCCCGCCCAGCACTTTCGCGCTACCCTGCCCTGCCCTGTCGCGCGCTGCCCGCGAACAGCCCGTACAGCCTCCACGGCGCCCGCGCACCGCCCGTACAGCCCGCGCGAGGTCCGCGCGCAGCCCGTACAGCCCACGCCAGGCCCTCGCGCAGCCCGTACAGCCCTTGCCAGGCCCGCACGCAGCCCGTACAGCCCACGCCAGGTGTCACAGGATCGAATTTCCACTCGATAATGTTGCACTAAAGGTGAGTACAAGGAGTATTTATACTCAGAAATACATCGAAACAACCGATAATCCGAACCTTCGGGAACGCGCTCTTCTATAATAGATAATCACAAGCATGCAAGCCCATTGGCACAT